CAGTCTGTAGAATCCCCTCACTGATTACACTGTAAGTGATAATCCACCTTAACCAAAATCAAAGTAGACTATCACTCACCCACACCAGATGAATATATATATATACAAAGAATCTATGAATCCATATATATCGTCAAACAGAGCTGCCCGGTAAACCGTAGGCAGAGAGGGAGAAGAGGACCACAAACGAGGGGCTGTGACAAACTGTTTCGTCGGAGTTTCACCGACTCATAAGATGGAAGGAGATAAAAGGTGTCTCACCTTCCACATCTCGTACTCTTCTGCTTCGTTGATGTCATCATCTGTGATCACCTCTGCACCATCTCCATCCTCCCCTGCACAGAGCATAACATACCAACACCTCAGTACCACGACCCGCAACTTTATTTTTCTCTTGGTTTCAGTATATTTATTTTCCTCTTCGTTTGATTTTTTTTCCTCTCGGTTTCAGTACATGGTGAGAACAAAACCTAGCGCCTTATCTCAATAAAATGCAGTAGAGGAAAGCAATGACGCTTTGTTCATGACAAGCCAACCACGACACTGAACTTGATAAGATTGAGGGGATGGCATCGACAAAAAACTTGGCCAACGAAGCGAGGGAGGGAATCAAGCAAGAACCAAAACGATTTGCACCTTCAGTCGGACACATAAAGAGAGGAAATACAGCTTTGGTTTCACACCACAGGCCACGAGCCATTTTAGTCCCATCGATACCCCACACCAGGGTTGCATCCCTGCCGACCGCCGACCCCGACCACCGATGGTATTGCAGCCGACCAGTAGGGCCGACCGGTCGGCGGACTGCCGACCAGTCAGAAAACAACCATCCACTGATTTTTCCTCAAATAGGGGGTATCAGGGGGGGTAATAAGGGTGTTGGGGCCGGTTGGGGGGTGTTGGGGGGGTGTTGGGGGGTGTATGGGGGTATTGGGGGCCGCTATGGGGGTGTTGGTGGTGTTACTAGGGGTTCTAGACCTCCTGTGGGGTGCCGATGACCCCCGACCGGTAGGTGCCGACCAGCCGATCGGTCGGTGGGTCGGCAGCCGACCGGTCAAGGGCCGACCGTCGGGGGGTGCAAAACTGCCCCACACAGCACTTTAGTTCCGTAGCCCACAGGCCATCTTAGTCCCATAGCCCACAGGCCATTTTAGTCCCATAGCCCACAGGCCGTTTTAGTCCCATAGCCCACATGCCATTTTTTAAGTCCCATAGCCCACAGGCAATCTTAGTCCCATAGTCCCATAGCCCACAGGCCATCTTAGTCCCGTAGCCCACGTGCAATTTTTTAAGTCCCATAGCTCACATGCCACTTAGTCTCATAGCCCACATGCTATAGAGTCCCACAGTCCACATGCCATGGAGTCCCGCAGTCCACAGGCAATAATAATTGAGTTTCAGCCCGCTGACCACCGGCACATCATGGGCAGCATAAGTTTCCGGCACGTCAGGAATAAAAAAAGGACACAGAAGTCACACAAGAACTCTGCACTGTTTAGAGGTGAATGGCAGAAATGGCCCCCTTTATATTTGAAATGACAAAATAACCCCCCCGGAATCCACCAGGGCCTCTGCAGATCTGGCGCAAATCATGCACTTGGGCATCTGCACCTCCAGGTGCATTCTGACAGGAGGGCTACCTTCTTCAGACAGGAGGCGCATTACAAATTAGCAATTACCTCTCGAGATCCACAGATCGGGGATAACAGTTAACGGCACAGAGTTCACGATCACCATCACCAGGGAGGGACAGGGGAAGGAAGAAGGGCATAGAGATAGGTAGGTGGGTAGGTAGGTTGGATGGGGGAAGAAGAGTCGAGACCAACCTAATTAAGGGCTATACATCGAGTCCAACGAGGAGCACACAGAGGCATGACGAAGGTGTGCAGCATCGCCCTTGACCTTCGTTGAGCCTGTTTTCTGAACGGATGCATCCATCCAAAGTTCCAAAAAGAATTCAACAGAGTCAACGGAGGCCCTGACAACACAACAACACCTCAACACGCAAAACCCGCAACCCCATCGATCTCCCCCCCCCCCCCCCCCCCCCCCCCCCCCCCCCCCCCCCCCCCCCCCCCCCCCCCCCCCCCCCAAATCCCCCCCCCCCCCCCTCCCCCCCCCCGCCACACCCCCCCCCCCCCCCCCCCCCCCCCCCCCCCCACCCCCCCCCCCCCCCCCCCCCCCCCCCCCCCCCCCCCCCAAATCCCAAAGGCAGGGCCGTTATCGCCGTCTCCTATGGTACCAAAGGTCACCCTATAGATACATAGAGCTCAACCTGCTGTGTCTCATGCATGATGTTCGATGGAATACGGTAGCTGCAGAAGAGGAACAACCTACTCCGTCTCATGTCAGCAACAGGTACTTCTAAGAAAATAAAAAACAGGCACTCAGGTCCAGACGGGCACACGGTTCACCAATGTGATGTGGGCACCATTGCCGCACCAATATTACCAAATTGCGACTAGGTGCACAGGGTACAAAGAGGGGAATATTACCAATGTGGAGTGCTGATTACCAACGTTGGGTGCTGGACCTGCTGGTTACCAATGTGGGGACCACCATGTGGGGGTACCCATGCGGCCAATCTGGGGATATTACCATGTGGGGTACCAATGTGGGGATATTACCATGTGGGGTACCATACCTGGCAAAAAAAAAAAAAAAGTGGGTACCATTCAATATACTGTACTAACGGGGGGGTGTATTAACGAGGGTCTGGGGGGGGGGGGGGTACCAAAATAGAATGTTGGTGTCAATTGTTCACCGAGTCCAATACCAAATATATTTATTGACGCACCGTGAGGGCACCGGCGTGAAGCCCGTAGTTTGTTTGTTGATGTGGTTGGGAAGGGGTAAGGTAGTGATTATGTTGTGTTTATGTTTTGTCATGTTTGTTATACACAACTCCAAGAGAGTGTGTGTGTGTGTGGTCCTGGCTGGTGCTTTACTCATGATGTTCATGGGACGCTCCACCCGGTTTCCAGCAGGTGCCGCTCCCCACTAATAGGCAGGAGCTTTCTGCTGTTCAGTCCACTATAGGGGGATGCTCATATCACCTCCTCTAGTGGACTGAAGTGTGTGTTTGTTTGTGTGTGCACGTGTATGTTAGAGTAAGTGTGTGTGTGTGTGAGAGAGAGAGAGAGACAGACAGCCCTGCAGCATACAGCATGTCAGTGGCGGGAAGCACAAGGCCAAGCGCTAACCTCGGGGGGGGGGGGAAAAAGGTGATGTTCTATTTGAACAAGAGTTTTTTTACCAGAATTCGAATAGAAAACGTACCTGTTGTATTCGAATACAACGCGTACGTCGTCTCCATTCAAAGTGCCCTTGTATTTGAATTCGAGAAAAGTGGACCCACCGGTTTCGATTTCGAAATGCCCAACTCAAGGACCGTGGCCTCCTTGGCCTCCTACGGCCACCTACGGGTCCTCTGCGAGCAACAGCCCGGTCCCATAAAGCGCCCCCCCCAGTAAATTCACCACCCTTCCAACTACCTTTTGGACCTGAACGGACGACCGGTAAAACGAAGGCCGTCGAAACTGACTCAGGGGTGTAAAACGCACCACTGACAGGCTGCACTCCTGCAGTCAGGTAAGTTCGACGAATCTTGCCGCGATTTCAACGTCCTATGAACCGAATCATCAGACCCTACAAGGTTAAGAGTTCCCGCAAAAATTGAAACCATATCCATTTTTCTTTTTTCCTTCTCGAACGGGGTCCAGGTTAGCGAGTTTTCAAAACAAGTTTAGAATTTTGTAGAGCCTCCACGAGAGCATGTCAGCTTTTCCTTTTTTTTTTTTACCCCCTGTGCTAATCTGCTCTTAAACTGCCACTACCTTTCTCATATGTCAGGTGCGGGGTGGATCCCACTCGTTTCAGAGGCCGGTAGCTGCCGACGAAAGATATCAGCGGCCGCCCAGCAGCGATTTTTTTGAAATACATCATTCTCCCAAATGGGACTGCAACTGCGAAAGGTAGTGGTGGTTTAAACAGAAACGAAAAAAAGAACATGTCATTGGGAGGGAGAAAGGATGTGACATGGCGTGACAGAAATTGTAAGGTTTTCAAGGATGAGAGGCACTCTGTAGACCCTCTGTTAGTATTCTTGAGTGATCGTTTGGTTGTTGGAGTCATACTGGTTAATCTTTTGTGGTATGTTTAACTTGTAATCGGTATGCTCTACGTTTTAATTTTCAATCTTAATTCAAATTTCGTGATAGGATTTCCTTGTGTCGGGGGGCCAGCATGGTTAGCTGAGCCCTGCCACCATGGGCCCGCAGATGGGGTGTGGAGACGTTACGTGACATAGTGGGCAATAACGTGAGATGAGGGATGGTAGAGTGTGGCGATGGACAGCGATGGACGGCGAGGTGAGCATCATTTTGATTACCGTCATCATCACCCGTTAGTATTAGTATTGCCATCCTTCATCTGTGCGATCGTCGAATTGTCAAACCATCATTAGTGTTGTAATCATGTGAGAGTTGATTTTGCCTACGATCGTGTTTTAATTTCTCCTAATTTTGGATCGTGAGTCCTTTTCGGGATATTTTACATAGATTTTTTGAATTTTGTTTTTAAATTCCATGTTTTAATAGCTGCTTTTGATAGATTCTTTAATTTGGTTCCTCATTTTACCTCAATTCTATCTTCAAAAGTATTCTCTCGAAGTAATTTCCTATGGAATTTCCCATAAATTTCTTGATTCTACATAATCATAAGTCCAGTTGTGGACATCTTAGATAGTTTCATAATTTGGTCTAAAACGGTTATTTTCTATAAGTGGGGGTCAATAGACTTCCCAACTGTTTCTTGAATTGAAAGTTCTAAAAGTTTTTGAAGCATTTAGAAAATTCATGTTTCTAAGCCTTAATTTTTTAGTCTGAGCTGCGAAGTTTGTTTGACTTCTGTATGATCCGAGTGTTTTTGAAACTCTCTGAATGCTCAAAAAGGTTATTCGGTAAGTAGGAGGAGGTTGGTTTTAGCAGGGTGGTGCACGGTGCAGTGGATGGATCGATGTCCAGGGTGGTAGGTCTATAGAAGGGCAGGGTGGGGTGACGATGGTGGGTGCTGGAGCAGATGCTCTGTAACCAGAGGACCTTGAGACTATTCGAACTTGCTGAGGGTGCAAAGCATAACTACCTTGCCCAACGTAGCTGTAGCCGGGGCAGTGTCTCTGTAACTTGGGGGCTGTGCAGTTAAGGAAGGTGTCGAGGGGGAAAGACACTTCCTATCCGTCAGAACAAGCTTGGTCGGTACTGGGGTAGTTGGTGTTGCCCTGTTACTCTAGCAAAGGGGGGTATGAGATCTGGTGCGTTCTGGTACGAGGACTGAC